TTTAGCTCATTCTAAGAGAGATTGCGAAAAGAGATAGATTTGAAGGACCAAGAGGCTGCTGAGAATACTGGATGAGGAAGGCTATTAGTGTAGGGGCCAGCACAGGAAGTAGCAAAATGGCCGTGAAGGGCAGCAGAATTGGTGGAACTGCAGGACTTGGGGAGGCCTAATTCTCCAGTCAGCAATTTTACACTAGTGAAGCTGTATTGACCCCAACCAAGTTTATTCCAAGAGGAGAGGAGAAAAGAGTGGGACCCGAAAAATGAGAAGCAAGGAAGGGGCAGAACTGTACTGTTTCAGTTGTGGAACCAGGGAAAGGATTAGAGGGGTAGGGTGATTATATTTGAACATTCAATATATCATCCTAATTCAATAACAACAGCTATTTAGCAGATTTCAGATATATAGGTGGAGCTGAGCCTGAGACCTAACCCTGTAAAGAGGAAATAGGGCACTTACTGATTATCTAGTCTCGTTTGTGCACACACAGAACAGTTAACTGTGTTCCATTGGAATCTGCTTCCCCCTAGTGGGACTGAATTGGAATGACTAAAGATTTTGATGTAGCATTTTACATAGGTCATAATCCTCTTCTCACTGCTTCAGGGAGTAGCCAAGTTCATCTGTATTGGATAAACTTAAAAAACAACACATAGTCTGGTAGCACTTAATAGACTAACAAAACATGTAGCGTGGGGGAGGGATAGCTCAGTGGTTTGGGCATTGGCTTGCTAAGCCCAGGATTGTGAGTTCAATCCTTGCAGAGGCCATTTAGGACAAAAATTTGTTAGGGATGGTACTTGCTCCTGTTGTGAAAACAGGTGATTGAACTTGATCTTTCAAGGTCCCTTCCAGCTCTAGGAGATAGACAATCTCCATTAATTGAATACGAGGTTTTGTGGGCACAGCCCACTTCTTCAGATTACCAGAGAATTGAGTTTAGGATGTCCAGACCCAAAATAATAAATAGGGGAGAAGGATACAAGAAGCAGAGGGTTTGTAAATATCAAAGGCTATGTCTAGACTGCAGGCTTCTTTCGAAAGAGGCTCTTTCAAAAGCATCTTTCGAAAGAGCCTCTTTCGAAAGATCGCATCTAGACTGCAGGCGGATCTTTCAATAGAGGAAATCCACTTTTTCGAAAGAGAGCACCCAGCGAGTCTGGATGCTCTCTTTCGAAGACGGCCTCTTTACATTGTAGAACGCCTTCTTTCGAAAGAGGAACTTTCGAAAGAAGGCGTTCTTCCTCGTGAAACGAGGTTTACCGCCATCGAAAGAAAAGCCGCGTTCTTTCGAAATAATTTCGAAAGAACGCGGCTTGAGTCTGGACGCAGGGGAAGTTTTTTCGGGAAAAGGCTACTTTTCCCGAAAAAACCCCTGAGTCTGGACATGGCCAAAGGGAAAACCAGAAAGGCAAAACTGGTAATCAGTAAGCTCCTAAAAATTGAATAGTAAAAAGAAGAAGATAAGGATCATAGGATAGCAATTAAGAGAGGAAAAGTACTACTACAAAAATCTACCCAGATAAAGAGCTGTTGGCACCTTCATTGTTTGTTTGATTGATAATGTCCCAGCCATCCATTATCTTGATTGAGGCCATAGGTGTGAGAATTAATTTGTAGATGAATTGTAATTCCAACCCTTCTCTGTGTAAAATTGGTCTGTAACAAGACAGCCATTTGGAGATCTGTGGATTGTGCCCACGAAAGCTCATGATATTATATATATATTTTTGCTTGTTGCTAAGGTGCTACAGGACCATTAGTTTTTAAAGTTCTTTCCATTTTAATTACTCATAAGTTTCTAGTGTAGAGGAAGTGGGGTGAGCTGCAGAAAAGCATTAAAATGTGATCCCAGTTCATCCTGTTCGTCCAGAAATATAATTTATTCCATCATGTGCCAACAGTGTCCTTCTGCTATGTATATTGGACAGACTTCTCAGACACTTCACCACAGAATTAATGCCTACAAATCAGACATCAGACATCTTCACAAGGAAAAACCAGTTGGTTTTCATTTCAACTTATCGGACATAGTCTTAACGACCTTACTACATGCATCTTACTTCAAAGAGACTTTAACACCAGATTACAGAGGGAAACTTCAGAACTTTCATTCATGCTTAAATTTGACACTTTACGAATGGGCCTTAAGATGCTAATTATCTTACCCATTACAAAGTTTCTCCACTTATCACCCCTAATTAGCCATTCATTGACTCATATATAGCTATCCCCTCCCTTCCTCTCCCTGGCCCCACCTTCTGTACTAAATCTGATTTGTCAGTTTAATAATGTGTTCACTTTTTTCATTGTATTCTTTTGGTATATATGGTCATGCCAATTCTCTTCCAGAATATGAGTTAAGGAAGTGGGTCTGGCCCAGGAAAGCTCATCACCTATTAACCAATCTTGTTAGTGCTACATAGTTTTCCCTTTTGTTTTAGCAAGATCAGACTAACACCTCCCTATTTCTATCGTAAGGGCTGAACAACCAGAAAGCACATAGCACAACCTCTCCTCATTTATTATTATTACTAATCTCATAGGTTTGGGAAGGCTTGCTCATGGCTACGTAATACAGTGATATTAACACTGCAAGGGCATGTCTACACTATGTGGAAGACACTGCCATGGTAGATTTTTGGGGGTTCGATTTAGTGGGTTCATCCTCTAGATCGAACTGGAAGGGCAACCGGGTTGGCTCAGGTACTCCTGCTCCTCCCATTGGCTTCCCTCTGTGTGCAGAGCACAGAAATGCGATGTAAGAGACATAGCTGGAGTTGTGTATCTTACTTCGACCTTCCGATGTAGCAGAGACTAGGCCTAAATGCCTGACTTGCTATGGCTCAGAACTGACCCTAAAACATGCACCCGTGATGGACTACATGGCCCAGCATGCCTCTGGCAGGCATGCACCTCCCAGCATGCAATGCTCCCTTGGTCCCATAGCGTCTAGTAGAAACTACACATCCCAGCATGCTCGAGGGCGGACTACAGCGTGAAGGACCGAACGTTCTCAGCCTCTCCCCCTGATTGGCTGAAGCTGTGGCCTCTTCTCCCGCTCTCTGGTATTGGCCGGCCGCTTCCCGGCTCA